CGAATTCGCGCGCGAGATGGAGGCCATCGACCGGCGCTACGACGCGCCCGCGCGGCCCGCGCCGCCGCGCCAGGACTCGAACGCGTCGTCCTTCGCCGACGACTCCGACGAGGACGGGCCCGCGCCGCCGCCGCCGCGGCGCGCGGCGCCCGAGCCCGAGCCCGAGCCCGAGGCGCCCGCGACGGTGTCGGGCTGCCACGCGGAGATGGTCGTCCACGACACGACCTTCGCGCCCGCGAAGGCGCGCACGGCGCCCGGCGTCGAGTTCGCCGTCGTCATCGACGCGGACGAGCTCGGCTACGTCGAGTACCAGTTCCGCTGCGACCGCGTGCTCGACGGCGCCCCCGCGACGCGGACCCTCGCCTTCGAGACGGACATCATGTGCGCGGGCGACGTCTTCACGCACATTTTCCAGGACGAGGGCCGCTACGAGATCTACGACGTCGACGCCGAGGACGCGCCGGGCCACATCCGCGTGTCGTCCGCGGAGGACGACTAGTAACACCTGTGTTTGCGCTGCGCTCGTACGGATGGGCTCGGGGAAGGTGGTGTTGTACGACCTCGGGAGGCTCCGAGTCTCGGGGTAACATATCCCGCCGGCGGGACATAAGCAAAACTAACCCTTGACGGAATAAACTTCACTGAGCTCGATGAACTTTGGGATATGAATGGCTGTGAGCGCACAGCCAATATTGAAGAAGATGCAAACTTTAAAACGAATGGCTCGCATCGTTTATGATATAAACGTTGGGCAATTATAATCACTACGGCTCGTTTCCTATATGATATGTTAAACACCGCTTCAACCTGGGCTGAAATCCAAGCATGGGTTCGAAATGGGCAAGTTGCGGCCGTACACCATTTCCAGCAGTGCCGATGGAGCCTCGAAATTTGCCAGCGAAATTTGGCAGCGAAATTTGCCCGCGAGCAGCAAGCTCGCGTGCAGTGGCGGCGACACGATGTCGACCCCCCGCGCTGCCCTCGGCATGCTCCCGCTCGTGTTCCTCGTCGGCGGCGCCCGCGGCTTCGGCTACAGCCAGACCGTCGACAATTGCGCGGAGACGCCCCACACCTTCGACCGCTCGTGTGTAGAGGACTGCCCGCAGTGCACGCCGATCGCCGTCACCGAACGGGGGCAGGACCTGAGCGACGCGACCGAGTGCGTGTGCATTGAGGGCAGCCTCATGGGCGATGATGATAGTAGTGATGATGACGCATCGAAGTCGTGGACGCTGACGCCGTACGACGACTGCGCGTTCATCTCGAACCTCGGGGAGTACGTGGCGCTCCACGCCGGCGCCGGGAACGACGTCGTGGACGTCAAGCTGGCGTACCGCTATAGCATCATCGACGCCGGCGCCGGCGACGACGACGTCTCGGTCATGTCCGCGGAGAGCAAGAAGATCGACGGCGGCGCCGGCGACGACGCGATCTACGCACTCAGGGTGGGAGGCCAAACAGGCAACGAGCTCCGCGGCGGCAAAGGCGACGACACGATCACGCTCGTGTATTCCAGCGTCGACGTCTTCGGCGACGCCGGCGACGACGCGATCTCGGTTACAGCCAGCTCGTATTCGCAGCTCTTCGGCGGCGACGGCGACGACACGATCGACATCGGCTCCGACGAGGGTAGAGGGTACACGAAAGTCGACGGGGGCAACGGCGCCGCGCCCGCGCCGAGAGAGGCCCGGACGACGGCCCCCCGTCTCCGCGCGTTTACCTTTGCGCTTCGTAGGCGACGACGTGATCACCGCGAACCTGTTCACAGGAAGCATGTCGGGCGGGGCCGGGGACGACACGCTGAGCGTGGTGGCTGCCCCGACCTCGAAAATCTTCGGGGACGAAAACCTCGACTACGACTACGATGGAAACCTCGTACTCGAAGCCGACGGAAACGACAGGATTGACCTGCAGTACTGCGGCGACTGCACGGTTATCACTGGCGGGGGCGACGACGTCGTCTCCATCGGCAACGCGCGAGAATTCAACGCCGAGCTCGGAGGTGGCGACGACGCGCTCACGATCGACATGCTGACCGGCGGAACTCCTTATGACATCCGCGGCGGCAACGGAGACGACGACATACACATCAAGAACGCGAAGTATATCGACGACCAGGGGGTGTACATCGACGGGAGCAAGGGCGACGACAAGATCACCGTCGACTACTTGGGCGAGAAAGCCGACTACGTGAGCATCGACGGCGGCGGCGGCGACGACGCGTGCACTTTGCAGGGGACCGCGGTCGAGTGCGAAGTTGCAGAGGACGACGACGACGGCGGGGCCGTCCCCGTGACGTGCGAAGGCTGGGGCCAGGGGTTCTTCTGCGACTGTGCGGGCGACTGCGAGAGGGAGGAGGCGTGGTGCCAGTGCGACGAGGCGCAGGCCTGCTGCGCCCGGTAGACCTCCCGCGCGCACGATATCGTTATAAGACGCACGATCGCGATCGCGACTCCGACCGCGCAAGGCAATCGCACGACCCGGGCGAGGACACATCCGCGTGTCGTCCGGTGAGGACGACTAAAAACACCTTGTGCTTGCCGGTCGTCGCTGCAAGCTTGTATGCCAGCGTGCGGAGTTCGAAGCTGAAGGTGGCACACTTTTTACACGGTGGCGCCCCTAATAGTCGCTCTTGTCGTTGTCGTAGCGCCTGAGGTAGTCTTCGAAAAGCTCCTCTTTGCCCAAATCGGAAGTGGGGCGGTAGAACTCCGCGCCGTCGCTGGCGGAGCCCAGGTTGTTGTCGTGATACGGGAACGTGGGGCGGACAAGTTTCGACGCTGCTCTCTCGTCAAATGCGGGGGTCTGGCCGCTGAGCATGATGACTGCCATTCCGATGCCGCGCCTCACCCTCTCGCGGTACGCTTGCAGATGGCGGGACGCGCCCACGCGGCGCGCCACGGCCTGGCCGACGTCCGACCGCTCCACGCGCGCCACAAAGGCCCGAAGCCCCGGCCGCACCTGGAGCGCGTCGTCGAGGACCATGTCCTGGACGAGCCGGAGCAGGAGCAGCGGCGCGCCGACGGTGATCTCGAGGACGGTCCGCCGCGGCCCGGCGTGGGCGGCGACCGCGGGCCCGACGGTGCGGTCGACCCACTCGAGCGCGTCGACGAGCCCCCGGGTCCCCGGCGCGTTGCAGTGGCCAT